AAAGAAAAAGTTTACACTCAGCTAGGCTGCACAGACAGTAGGAAAGTCACAGAATCACAGAATGTTGGGGATTGGAAGGGACCTCAAAAGATCATCTAGTCCAATCCCCCTGCCAGAGCAGGAACCTAAATGAGATCACACAGGAAGGCATCCAGGCGGGTTTTGAATGTCTCCAGAGAAGGAGTCTCCACAACCTCCCTGGGCAGCCTGTTCCAGGGCTCTGTCACCCTCACCGTAAAGAAGTTTTTTCTCAAGTTTAAGCGGAACCTCCTGTGTTCCAGCTCACACCCATTGCCCCTAAAGTGAGTGGGGAGGAAAAAAAAAAAAAGCTGCAGTTGTGGATAATCAAATTCTCAATTAACTTGTTGGTTATAATCCGATCATACCTGAATGAAAATAAGGCCCTCCTTACCCTTAAGAAAAGTCTTGATAAGATTCCCAACGTACCACCAAACGTACTGTCTTGGAGAGGTTTTTGATACACATTACAGCACAGAGGAATGAAAACAGTATTTTTCTGTTTTAAGGGGGGTACTTTCTGCATGCAAGTCCTAGTTTTTATATATGCAGTAAAATTACTTTCTTGACTCCGCAAAAGGGAGTGGAGAATGGGAAAGGCTTATGGTATAGCCCTGATACATCTAAAAATTTATCATTACTTCTAATTCCTTGGAAAGAAATTGATTTCTCAGTTCCTGCAACAGAGCATATATTCAAAAAACTTCTAGACTATTTTCCAGAATCACAGAGATGTAAAATCAAGGTTTATATTGTAAGTGTCAGAGTCAGGAATCAGATAGCCACATTAAAAAAATTCTTTGCTGCACGTAGTACAGCCTCCTTTCTGATGCCAATCTCTCTTCCACCTGAAGTCTAGAAAGCAAGAAGGCTGCCTTCTACTGACCATATCAGAAACCACATGCCTGTCCCATGAAGGCAGAGGAGCACATCTTTTAGCCATAAAAGACAAGTTACACAGAATGCTTTAGGCCAAACTGTAGATAGTGAAAGTGCTACTGATAAGCTGTCATGAGTACACACACCTACACTTAATCCCTCTTTGAGATCAAATATACCCTCAGTTACTGCTGAGTGCTGCTCTATGAGTATTTTAAACTTAAACTATTAAAAAACCCCAAAAACCTATTTTGAAAGGCATCAGGTATTCTCCCAAGGGAAAAGCAAAAAAGTACTTCAGAACACAAAGAAATATGGCAAGATACACAGACATAGTCTTGACAGTCAAGACTGATCATGCTGATAAATGAGAGTCTGCTGCCAAGATCTGCTTTGGTTTGCAGAGAAAGGGCAACATCAATTACTCAAAAAGTAGGCTGATCAAAAGGAAGCGCCTGTTGTTCAGGAACTCCCTCACTATTCAAACAGATCTATTAACAGCAATAAAGCTTAGGAAAATCTACAAAGGATTTTTAAAATGAGAAGAGATAAATCTATGGTCCAGTCTGCACCAGCAATTGCTTTTTTAAAGCAAATAGCAAAAGAGAATCCTCATCCATGCATGCACGCACACACACCGTGCTACCAGACACAAGGAGACCTGGTGCTTCAGAGATGGTCTTGGCTTTCTGCTAGGCATCCACTCTTGCTGCAATATGATACTGGATTATTAAAGCATATGCTTGAGAAGCTTCTCAGATCTGGTCTGGAGGCTGCCTCTTCATTAATAAAACCATAACCAGAGTCCCACTTGCCTTGGTTTGCAGATACAAGAGGGGTCATTTACTGTAATATTTGTCAGGTTCCCCACCGTTCTCATAGACTAAGACAACATCTGTGCTGCTGGTCAGCATAAAAAACAGCAAGGATGTAGACCATAACATGCCAAAAATAATCACACAGCAACTCCTTCCACCTTTTGAGAAGCTGTTAAAGGATTCTCTACCTCACTTTCATTTTTTCAGTTCATCCTGTCAAAAATCATGCATATTTAAATGAAGAAGCAACTTCTATTTGCAAGTTTCAAGTCTGATCTGCTAAAATTTCTTGGGATGCAGACACAGATCCACTTCCACCTCAGAACAACCGGCTTTGGCCTTCAGACACCAGCTGTGAAATCATGAGTGCTCGAGGAATCCACTCAAAGGAAACTTGGCTTTTTCAGGAATTGTTAAAAATCACTTCACTTTAATCATTCAATATAATCACATACTGCAAATATGATACATATGTAGATGACTAACCAGATAGAAAATTATAATAAAAACAAATGCAAAGAGAAATACTACCTAAAATGAAATTTAAACATTTAAAAAAACCAAACCACCAAACAATCAATCAAACAAACAAAAACTAAAAGCAAATTCATCCATTTAAAGAAAAAAAAAAAAATCTTACCCTAATTTATCCAGGCTCAATTATTATGTTTCAAGGGTTTGGGCATCTATAATTTGAAGCTTCCATAAAAATGCAGGTTTAAGGTCACAGAAACAACCAAAACATTATTAACTCAATCATAATAAAAAATAATGTTAAACTACACATAAGTAATTTGACATTATTATACCATACTAAGAGACATAAATTAAAGTTGCTTATTCTTATCTTTTCCCTATGTAATGCTCCAGTTGATCCGTCTCGTAAAAATCTCTCCAATTATTCCTGAGACTGACAAATGCTGAATCATCATAAACTGCCTGCAACAGTTCCTCACTATCACTTACAGTGATATAACTGCTACTCACAGTTACATCTAAGCAATAGCATATGATGTCCGTTAGTGATTTTCTTAACACAGTACATAACACAGTAGACCTACAAAGAGAGCTAGGATTAAACAAGTTTATACCAGAAAAAAACAAACAAACAAGCAAACACAAAAAAACCACCAGGGAAAACTATAGTTACTCAACCCATCTTCCCTTGCAGAAAAGCACAGGCAAGCATTGGATGCACAAAGCTGGACAGTGTCATCAAAAAGCTTTCAAGCTTACACATGCCCCACACCCCACACAATCCACACTGAGAGACTCAGAGAAACAGTTTTTTCTTAAATAGGTGTCCTGGTTTTGCTAGGATAGAGTTAATTTTCTTATTAGTAGCTGTGTTTTAGTTTCAGTATGGGAACTGTTATGAGAAGAATGTTGATAAAGTACTAATGTTATCAGTTGCTGCTGGAACCCAAGGTCATCATGTCTTTTGCTAGTTTGCAAGTGCAAAGGGCTGGGAGGGGGAAGTGTAGTAAATAGCAAAACCCAAAACTGGCATCTGGATGTGCCAATGAGATATTCCAGATCATATCACGTCATGTTCAGTATATTAACCAGGGCCAGTCGGAAAGCTGGGGGTATTCTCTCAGGGATCGTTCAGGCTTGCTCTTCCGGGATGGTGGTTTTGGGATTGTGTCTGCTCCGGGATCGCTGGTGTGGGACAGGCTGGGCATCAGTCAGCAGATGGTGAGCAATTTCATTGTGCATCTCATATTTGTATATTCTGTTACTACTGTTGTTATCATTATTATTTTATTTCAATTAGTAATTTTTTTTATCTCAACCCATGAGTTTTTCTTACTTTTACCCTTCCAATTCTCCCCACTGGCCCCTGGTGAGGGGGGAGAGTGAGAGCAACTGTGTTTGGCTGCAAGCCAAAGGAGTGAAACCACCACAATGGGCAAATAAAGTATTAGGACCATTATTCTTGTTGAAAATTAAGTCATATGACTTGAGTTTTTGAGTTTGTTCCCCCTACTGGCTTTTATTGCATAACTGTCACCTATAGCCCTAAAGGCTCCTCTTCCCTCCCTCCCTGTGAAAAGTCAAACACAAAAAAAACCTCTCTCCTGGTTGGAAAAATCACTAATCTCATGTCAATTAGTAAAATAACACAAACTTCAGATTTCAGGAAAACAGGAAACGTCATAATCAGACATTTCAGAACTAATTTAACTAATCTGCATTCAGATTGATGGAGGTCACAATAAGATAAACCATTCCATAATTGTTAGCTTCAGTTCAATCAGAATGAAAACCTTCCAAACAGGGGATGTTCATATATGGAGTACGGAATTTTAAGAATACTTCACATGACTGAAGTTAAGCACAGGGCTAAATCCTTACAGAACTCAGGCCACGAATAACAAAACAGCGGCTAGCCTACAGGGTGGCTGATCATAGACTTATCTTCTGCATGCTACTGAATTAAGAATTCAACATAAAAGCAAATATGCTTTATTAAAGATTTACTTGGAGCCCAAACTCAACTATGGGTAAAATAAACCACCAGAAAACTTCAACCTTAACATATTTTACACATTTCTGTGATCTTCTAACTGTTTGCACTTACAATTAAAATAAATGCTGGTTTTTAATTTCTGCATTCCACTGCACAGTGTCTGTGTGCAGGGGATGGAGTGGGGGCGTGTGTCTGTCTGAAGTACACTACAGTACCTGTGTTTTTAAATGAAACAACTAGCCCAGTGGCATTACAGAAATAAAAAGGGGGAAATGCAGACTACAGCATTAACTCAGTAAGAGAAGACTTTCTTTTCAGCAGTTTTTCATTTTCAATAACCAGAAGCAGCAAAACTCAAACTGTAAACTATGGATGAGGATGATTCTGCAGAACACTTCTTGGGTTCCTCTGGCAATCTACAGTGCTGTTCACTATCCTCTCCTGACCTTTCAGGAAGTATTTTCCACATAGAATTATGAATACAGTTTACTATTATCTTCTAATCCTGTGTCAACAGGAATGTTAGCATCTGCAGAAAAGCTAAAAAGATGAGGTCTAATTAATGAAAAAGTTCAGGAAGTCCTGAACTACTGTTGCTTAAAAGGTAAGCAAATGTTTTTCTGTTATTATTAATATTTTGTTCTCTGTAAGTAGGAGTATCAGCAAGCAGAATGAGTAGAAACTGAAGAATTTTGTAAAGTTGTTGGTTTTTTAAAAATTATTTTTATTTCATGCAAATTAACTTCAGTCAGATTTGAATCAGATTAATAGTTTGCATACCATTAGCCAGACAGGACATTTAAAAAGCATACCTGTTAAATATGTTCTCACTTGCAGCGTACTTGTCCAGTCTTCCCAAAGGCGTCAACATTTCATCTTGTGAGACAAAGTCCAGGGCTGAAGGTATAATAATCACATCAGACTCTGAGCTGTAGTCATCCACACCAACTATCAGAGACATCAGAAATATTCCTTATAATCACAGTAGTTTAACACTAAAATGATGTCTGCTGTTAGTCTGAAATACAGAAGTCTAGGCAAGGTCCCACTGACAACATATTTACTAACTGCACTACGTCTTTCCCCTTAGCTTTCCCCAACCCCCATAAAGCCTTTTCTATACAAGAGCGATTGATTACGTACAAATTGGATTAAATTGATTTTGAGTAATTTTCTCTAAATTCCCAAATATGATGTTTCATGAAACATCCAAGGTTCATTATATCCTTAGCTGACAAACAGTATTTTTGCATCTTATATTTTCATTAAGCAAATTACTTCTAGCTAATGCTAAAGTCAGCTTTTTGAAGATGCAGATTAAAATCATAGTGGCAATTAGCCCAGAGATGAAGAGTTAACACAACATCATCCAAAAGAACAAAAAAGTGGGGATTTTTTAAATAAAAATCTAAATTAAGAGTGTTACTATATCCAACTGCCAATTAAAACAGGCACAATTCACCTATTGCACAAATATTAACCAACACATCAATAGGAAACTTCCTATAAACAGACACCTTTATCAACGTGGAACCACAATGAAATGGAAAAGGGGTCCATCCCTGCTCCACAGAGCTGACTGAAGAACTGGGGCTCAAAATACCACCTTTTCTGGCTTCCATATACCCTCTAAACTACTCAAAACCTCAGTCCCATAACAAACACTTTAGCCTGCAAATGCAATCACTTATTTGCAAGAACTATGCCAGGTCACCTGCTTTACTCCTGAAAATAAACGGCTACAGTACACTACAACCATTCTTCAGTCTAGCCAACTTTCTCTAAAAAGCCTTTTGAAAACTGGCAAATAAAGACGGATAGCAGGCAAAGACAGATAGATCCAGAAGTCAAACTTTTTTTTTTTTTTTAAGTGAACTCTATAGAGGAAAGCAAAAATATTATTGTCCTTTTACCTTCTATACAATTAGTTATCAGACATTGTATCGTTATCTGCAACATTTATAATACACAATCAGCTACCACTTTCTGAATGTCTTCCTTAACATATTTGAAATGTCACAAGACTTAGCACCAAACTCTCCACAAGACTAATATTTTTAGACCTAAACTGACTTAATAGCACCTCTTTACCAACAAACTAACTGTCCTGTCTTCTAGGTAGAGAATCAATGGACATTGTTTAATTGGTCATAAATAAATCCCATCCCTGGAGGAGGGTCCAGATTCTGCAGTTGCTGATAGGACATTAAATCCTTGTCAAAAATCAAATTAATAAGTGATGGGAAACAAGCAAGGACATAAGAGTCTGGGAGACAGAGGCAAGGAAGAAAGTGCTAGCAGCTGTGAGACAAAGCAGATGGAAGAGAAATTTAGGGAAAGGAATCAATGCCCTTGGATAAACCTAAGGTAGAAGATAGCAAACTGGCAGGGGGGGAAGAAGGGAAGGCTCAAAAAAAAAAAAAAAAAAAAAAAAAAAAAAGAAAAAAAAAAGAAAAAAGATCAGTTGCAGGAAGCTATTGCAGCACAAAGGGAAAGCACTTAGCAACCCCAGGTTTACACAAGTGTTTGAACTTGTGTTTGGTTTGAGTTTGTGGGTTTGGTTGAGGGTTTTTTGCTTGGTTTGTTTTTGGGGGTTTTTTTTGCAAGAATCAGTTTTATTTTTACAGGAAAGTGAGGAAAAGTAAAAATGCACTCATAATACAAGTTAGGATTTTATGCCAGGTTAAGTTAACAAAGGACAGGCTGCTGCATCCTTCGACAGGATCACAGGCTTTTCATTCAACCCACTGTTCCAACTAAAACCAGAGGTTTTCCTGTTGTTACAGTTATGCCATGCACCTTTCTCACATAGACGAGTCTTTTTAGAGCATAATATTTAAGTTGAAGGGACTTACAATGATCATCTGATCATCTAGTCCAACTGCCTGACCAAATCAGGGCTGACCAAAAGTTAAAGCCTGTTGTTAAGGGTCTTGTCCAAACGCCTCTTAAATACTGACAGGCTTGGGATATCAACCACCACTCTAGGAAACCTGTTGCAGTGTTTGACCACCCTTTTGGTGAAGAAAGGCTTCCTAATGCTCAGTCTGAACCTCCCCAGGTGCAGCTTTAAATCATTCCCACACATCCTGTCACTGGATCCCAGAGGGAAGAGATCAGCACCTGCCTCTCCACGTCCTCTCCTCAGGAAGCTGTAGAGAGCAATGAGGTTGCCCCTCAACCTCCTCTTCTCCAAACTAGACAAGTCCAAAGTCCTTAGCCACTCCTCATATGACATTTCATTGTTTGTGAGCTCCTACTGACAGGGGGCTGACTCAACATACTTTGAAGCAACAAACACATCCTGCAGCATCCACACAGGAAATAAGTTATGCAGATACCACTCCTTCCAGAAAATTAATTGTATTAATTTTTTTGTCTCATTATAATTGCACCCTGCACTGGAGAGCTAAACCACTGCACTCAAATCAATTTCTAATCTACAAAGATTAAATCAAAGCAGTTAAGTTGTGACATAAGCAACTGGGGGAAAAAAAAAAATCACTCTAATATTCAGTGAAATTAATTCAATTATAGGGTCCTATTTTCCTATTTTAAAGTCTGTTGATCGTGCTATAAATTTAAAAGCATAAATTGAAGAGACTATGTCAAAATACCAACATAATTATTGTCATCAATATAATTATTTTTATTTTATTTATCAAATGCATGGATAATAAATAAAATAAATACAGGCTGACTATATTAACAACCACTCTGAACTTCAGCTTTATGTTCCATGTTCCTCTCTTTCCCCTTTACATTTATTCTCCACTTTTACTCCTACAGTGAGTGGTTCAATGTAGAACCCACCTGAGACAGCACAGAGCATGGTGACTGCTCACTCGGTGTGTCTTAACACAAACACGCGCTGAAGTTGACTAGATGTCTGATGCCTTTGATTTAGTGAACTGAATGTTCTGATAACTGATTTCAGGTGGCAAAAACTAAGTCAACCAAACTGCTAAATCCACTCTATATCAAATGTAAATATCAATGATGAAAATATGAGCAGCTGCTTACAATTTATCTGTTTGATGTCTCCTATTACTTCAAACAAAGTGTGGTGTGTGGATTTGACTCTGCTGTGGTTTTGTGCATTGTAAAATTAAGTTTAGCACTACATTGGGCTTGATGTGCCTCTGCTGCTGAGCAACATTTATTATTTAAATAATTCCAGCATCTTGGCTCATAGTCACAAAAGACATCATTCAAATGGCATCATCCTGATAAACGCAACACTGATACCAACAGGGAAGAGAGAGGTGATAGAAATAAATCAATCAGCACATGAACAGTTTATAGTTCTTTTAAAGTACTACTACAGTTATCTTACGTATTCATTTTTACTTCCAACATCAAGACACCAATCCAAGTGAAGAAAGGCAGTAGAATTCCCATTCTAACGAAGCCCCTCAAGTGGATGTTTGTCTTTAACCTGCCCCAAACATGATTCACCAACAAGCTGACCTCTCCTCATCTAAAAATGCATAAAGAGCATACTTTGTATCATTCAACAAACCAAGTCACTTTTTTTTCTTAGAAGCTTATTCCAAAAAAGCTATCAAAAAGGCTGTTAACTGAATATTTCCTCTTCAGCCCTCCTCTGCTTTCCACCCAACTTTGAGCACTTGCCCAAGTACCATAGGACCTTTCAGAAATTTAACAAATGCAAAAAAAAAACCCCAAAAAAACCTTGAACACAAGTGTACTGGTTTTGTCTGTGATAGAGTTACGATTCTTCACAGTAGCTTGTACGGGGCTATTTTGTGCATCTCCAACCCACTCACTGTCAGGGCAGCATGAGGAGTAGGAAAGGCCTTGACTCTGTGTAAACACTGTTCAGCAGTAACTAGAACATGTCTTATCAACACTGGTTTCAGTACAAATCCAAAATATAGCACCATACAAGCTACTATGAAGAAGTTTAACTCTATCCTAGACAAAACCAATACAAGTCTTGGCTAGTTCAAATGCAGAACATCCAGATCCATTCCTACTTCAGAACGTAGACCAGGCCACAGCACCACACATTCCTTTCTTCTGCTGCAGAAAAACTATAGGTCATTTTTCTTATTTTCTCCACTTTTTCTACCAGAACAAAAAAGTATGGACCAAATGCTCAGAAGGCATCTAAGCTACAAGACACCACTGAAAACTAATGCAAGTTCAGAGCCTAAATACATTTTAATCTGGTCTTAAGTGTTCATAGCAATATGCAAAAGAAGTAGAGCTAAGAAATTAGGAGTTTCTATGAAAATGCCTCATCCCAGCAGTTTAAAGTCACTAGTGGTGATGAGGGGAAGAAGAATAATTTGACAACAGTGTGAAAAGCAATCACAGTGCCCCTATTTTCTGTCCACATAAGCACCAAAGCAAGCAAAATGAATAAATTCATTAATTTATCTAGACTAAGTAGTTTGCAAACTTCTCTTCAAAACTCTACACTACTACCACCAAATGCAAGATAAGCACTGGATTTTGTTTCAGTATCTATCGCTGACCTGTTGTATGACACAAGCCAAGTAACTACTCCTATCTGTACCTTCAGTTTCCTGTTCAATCATTTGTTTGACTGTTTTTTGTAGAAGTTGTTCAGGCTTGTCTATCTGTCTTGTATCTGGTCCATACTGTACGATGAATGTAACACCTCCAGCTTCAAGTTCTCCTGTTTCCCTTACATTCTCCTCTGTTTTATGGCAAGGATACAACAATTACTCGCCACCAATATTAACTAACACGGACCATACAGCAATCTTGCTGAGACAGACTATGTTTCGAGGTGCTTAGTCAACCATCGACAAGCTTGCTTGAGCATACAACAGAACAGAAGTCCATTTAAAACTCAGTCCTCTATAAAACTACAGTCTGTAGGCCAACTTTCAAGTGAGTTGATTTTTCTACTACATATCTTCATAGTATCTTAATCATATTGTGTCAAACGCACAAGATCACGTTTGA